CATTACAATAAAATTGTAATGTTTTGTTAGTGCCCACATATTTTTGATAAATGAGGTATGAATTTTGAATCTCAAATTCATTCCACGTGTTTGTTGTTCTTGTCCATAGCAGTTGTAGTTCACTACTGCTGTTGAACTCTCCTGTTCATGAAAAACATACAAATAAAACACAAATTTCATTAGTTGCAATCAGGAATAGTGTAAATTGCGAGTACGTAGCACCGCAATTTTAGTTGTCATAATATGCAATACGTGGAATTTTGATTTACCTCATGAGTATAACTGGCATTACATTGTTTGTATACAAAGTGTAATAACTATCAATATTCATTTCCAAATCTCTTTATGAACCACCCTACATATCAAAAGAGTCAGTAAAGGGATCCAATTTTCCTTTTCAAACATGTTGACAATCTATGTTAGTCCTTATCGCTGAAATCTGAATAAGTTGTAGTCCATTGTCATCACATCCAATACCTATTTTCCTTAAAAAAATCTGCATCTATGAGTTCTTGAAGTCCTTCCTTATGCACCTGCGCGCATAGGGACATATTGGCTCAGTTTTGTGTTCCACCCTGTGTTTCTCTGGTGCTTACAAGTTAATATGATCAATGCAGGCCATAATTACTAAAATCAATGAAAAGATTGGTGCTGCTAGTGTAGTCAGCCAAGATTGTAGGACTGTTGTTTCTTATGATTTGTGCAAGCCCACACCAAATTTTTGTCCTTGTCCTTTCATAGAAAAAAATTATTTCTCGTGATTTGTACTAACACACCTTTTTCCTTTGTTTATTGTGATTTGTGCAAGCCCACACCAAATTTTTGTCCTTGTCCTTTCGTAGAAAAAAATTGTTTCTTATGATTTATGCTAACACATCTTGTCGTGTGTTTATTGTGATTTGTGCTAGCAACACAGCTCATTCCTTGTCCTTTCTTAGAAAAAAAAATTGTTTGTTGTGATTTGTGCTAACGCATTTTGTCCTTTGTTTTTGTGATTTGTGCCACCACACCACATTTTTGTCCTTATCCTTCCATAGAAAAAATTGTAATCTATTTATTTTTTTTGTGCCAATACAGACCCCACAAGCTCAGCTCCTCCTCCCTTCAAATATTCTCTCGTGTGTGGGTGAGGCTTATTGTCTCACCCACACACGAGAGAGAAACAATTTTTAATTGTTAAATGTCTCTGTGTAAACACCGATCTTTTTTTGTCCTTGGTTTGATTATAGAAACGATTGTAAGTTGTTAATTTTATCTGTGTTAATACAGATCAGTTTTTTGTGATTGTCTAACTATAGAAATAATTGTTTTTTTGTTAATTGTCTCTGTGTCAATACATATCAGGTTTTTGCCTTTGTCTAAGAAGACTCCCTACTTTAATTGTTCATTATTTTTTGTTCATTGGTCTTTTTTTGTCTCTGTGTTGCTTTTCACAGGCCCAAGTTAACTCTACTAGCAGCAGGCTTCACATGCACCAGCTGTTTCAGTACGCCGGAGCACATAATTGTGTTGTACTGGCAAGTGTCAACTGTGGTTTTCAGGTTTGAGACTATACTAATTGTGATTTCTCAATGTGTATGTGTGGCCCTTGTATGTCTTTGTTCCAATGGCACATCCCACCAGAGGCATTAGTTGGTTTAAAAGCATGAGTGCTTTGTTCTAGAGGTCCACATGTTGATCGGTAATAACCTGCGGTATAAAATATTTATGCTTTTCATACTTTACAATTATAGTTAGCCTACCCCAACTTGCTTGGGACTGAAAGGCTATGTTGTTGTTGTTTTTGTTGTATACTTTACAATTATAGGATTATTCCGTGCAAACCATTGATCCATTTTGAAAGAAATGGGTTCAATTCAACATAGCATAGAGCATTTCCAATTTTTCTTATAGAAAAAAAAAATTGGGTATCTTATACTCCAGTTGCCATAACAAGAAAGGTACTTGATAAAGTAGTCAGTGATTACTTGATTAGTAAAAGGAGGCCATGCCATTGCTAAGTAAATTAGGTGCACACAGCACACTCATTTCCACTACAGACTCAGAATAAGAAGAATGTAAGAGGTATAGGAAAAAAAAACAAACTTAGAATAATTTGAAATGGTAACATGATTGAACAGCCTACAAAATCAAGCACTAGTTTTCTTTTTTTTAATGCTTGCCTGTTGTGATTGTGTAGCGGTACTGAGTTTGCCTTACAACAGATATGGTCAAACTTGTTAAAGGCATACATATACAGTCTAGTGCCTTTTTATAGGTATAATTGCATTTTTAACTACTTGTAGTTGCACTAATTCACAATATGCAATTTTCATATCTATGAACTGCAATTTATAAAATGTGTATATTGTTGCATTGTTCCCTTAACAAATGATGTCCCTTCATTGCTATGCAACTGATGATATGTTTTTTTCCCGAACTTCATTGTGTTCTTTACAAAACAACTACATATCCACCTAAATCGAATTTGTTTCGTGCGTAGTAGGGATTTATGGCAAAGTTGTTCAGCTAGTATTCCCATCAGAACTTACATGATGAAGTTATTTGGACCACAAACGCCTTTCACATCGCATCGATCACTGCAGGCTTTTGCCATTTGATTTCTGTCATGGGCACTCCTCCCTGCCCAAGGAACACATGGGAGTACAGTCGCAATATACCATCCGTGTCCAAAGTGTCGATTTGAAGTAGGCATCTGTGTCTCGAGGAAGCTTTAGAAGATTGGTTTGTGAGGAACAACACATTTGTATATGTTGTTTGTTGGTCGAACATCCATAGTGTGCCATTGGGGTCCAAAACAGCTGTGAGGAGGAGCCATTGCCATAGGTGTCAGTATTCTAGTATGAGCTATCGTGGTCGATTGCATCAGGATACAACACAAGATTGCCATCTAGCTGGTTGGAAAGGCGATACATCCCTGTGGCATGGTTAGTATCAGCTACACTTGAGAAACAGCTAGCTGCCAGGAAGTAGGTTACATCCGGTAACAAGGTATCCGTCGGAGAACCAAAGGTGGACAAAAGGACCTGTTTTTGGCTATTGTACAACACAAAGTTGCCAGTGACCATTACGGCAGAGAAAGGCTTAGTAGAGTTGGCGAATATGAACTTCCCTTGGCTTCTTGCATTAGCTGGAATCCCTTTAAGACCACCGTAAGTTAACTGAACTGAGCCACCAGAAACAGGGGGATCATCCCGGTTGGCAGTCCACACAATCCTTTTGGATTCACCGATGATAAGCCAGCCTCTGAAGGAGAAGCCCTCGTCATCAGGATAGAAGCCAAAAGCAAAATGCCCCGAAGGTGAGACCCAACTTTGCACACCACCTGCATCGATTGTGGCCCCCAAAGGAATTTCAGTCTCTTTGGCTGAGCAGCCATGGTAGGAATAGCTTGGTTGATGAACAGAATCAGAGACAGACGGAACTAGTGCCTTTTTATAGGTATAATTGCATTTTTAACTACTTGTAGTTGCACTAATTCACAATGTGCAGTTTTCATATCTATGAACTGCAATTTATAAATAGCCTGTTCGCTGGTTGGTTTTTGGGCTGATAAGTCTGGCTGACGCTGATTTGTTGTGAGAGGAAAACACTGTTGCCTGACTGATAAGCTCTGGCTAAAACCAACAAGCGAACAGGCTGAAAATGTGTATATTGTTGCATTGTTCCCTTAACAAATGGTTGTCCCTTCATTGCTATGCAATTGATGATATGTTTTTTTTCCTAAACTTGAGTGTGTTCTTTACAAATCAACTACATATCCACCAAGATTCAATTTGTTCAGGGATTTACTGGTAGAGTAGTTCTATTGCCGAAACACATGCGCCTCTTATTGGTGGGCCAATCCATGCATTGTGGCCCAGATAAGCACCCAAGTATACGAAGCCCAATTGAATTTGTGTGGGTATCTCTGGTTTCTGAGCCTAGTAACACTCCAATAAGCTTAACGGGTATTTTTGACAGGCCCGCTAAGTAACATATCTGTGTACCAGGTCTATTTGCGGAACCGTTATGGCACTTTAATAACTGCAACCACTATTCACAGATTTGACTGTTAGATCTCAATCTAATGGCTATGCGTGTCACCTGAAAAATGTTATATTTCAGACACCTGAAATATAGCATCTCTCTTTCATTATTGTTGCAAAAGGACTACTTCGATTCCCACTCCGGTTTCACTCACAAGATTGCATTTAGTTAAAACTACTTCTTTGAGAAAGAACAAAATCTTAAACTTAAGGGGTAACTTCAACTTCCATACATTGAATGAACTGAAAAGGTTCCAGTTATTGAGATTCCACCTAATTGAATCTTGTTGGTTATCAAGTTGCACAAATGCAATTTTCGCGACCATGTCATTCCACTTGGCCAGCTTGTCACTAACTAGCAATCTATGAAATATCAAATTAAATAGTGTAGAATTGACAAGCTGAGCGATTATAGTATGTTTACTTCCTAGTAATGTTATATAAAGATGTGCATTGTTCTTTGAAAAGCAACTTTCCAAACCACTTGTCCTCTCTAGGCCCACCTTATGACATGTTCGCTTTGCTGAAAAGCCAGGCTGAAAAGTATTGTTTGCTGATTTGTTGTGAGAGAAAAACACTATCAGCCTGTTCGTTTGGCTGTGGTTTATCGTAAACGATCGTAAATTTTCAGTCGGAACAGTATTTTTCTCTCACACAAATCAGCCATCAGTACTTCTTCACGAACCAGCAACGAAACGAACCAGTCAACCAAACAGACTGTATACCATGACTGATAAGCCAGGCTGATAAGTTCAAATAGTTTTGTTTTTCAAGTACTTCTTCCTAAAAAGTTTTTGCAAAACTCCATCTTCGTTGATTAATTTAAAGAGTCACTTGCTAAACAAGCATTTTGAGTCTCCGGGTCTAGGATTCCTAAACTTCTTTGCTCTTTTTTTCCCCCACGGCAGACTTGCCGGTGATGACATTCTGGGTGTGGCTTTATTGCTGAACAAAGTTGTTTTTGGCTTGATTTCATCTGTCCTTCCTGAGTTGCGCGATCTGGATGTTGTCGACATCCAGCTTCCTGAAGTTGCTTCTCCTCCTGGTTCTGAAGAACTCCCCCCAACTGTACGCGTCGTACCTTGACGGGTTCTCCTCGCTCACCATCTCCTCCAACGGCTCCACCAGAGTGCCCATGGCCGGGTTGAAGAAGTAGGGTATGGAGAACCTCTCCATCTCCGAGTTCACCGACGCCCGGTGCTCCACGCTCTCGTACCTGTCGTTGCTCCACACCTGCAACCCAAATCCAAACACAACTTTATCAATTTGCTCAGCAACGACAGCAGCACCCAGATTGCAGGCTGCAGCATTGGATGGATGAAGCCATGAAGGGCCTCGATCGGCAGGCAGGCACCTGAACGACGTCGTATCGTTGCTGTGAAAGAGAAGTACTACTGGCTGGTTCACGTAAATAGTAGCCATGTGAGGGGCTGGCCAGCCCAGCCAGCCCCAGCCCAGCGATCAGGCTGGTTGACGACGAACGAGCCATGAACAGGCTCCACGCGCACCCACGCGCCGTCGGGCCGCCTCCGGACGTCGAGCCCGCCGACGTCGTCGTCAGAGAGCTAATGAACACCTAGCTCAGCTCCTTGAGTCGGCTAGCGCATCACGGCATCAGCTACAGTGCAATGTTTGTATAGTAGTTAACAAAAGCCTGAAAACTCTGTTGCCAATGGCATCTTCACTTCACGGATTAAGCCACCACAAATAGATAGATCAAACACCCATCAGCAACCACATTTGCATTGATCAAAGAGAGAGAGAGAGAGAGAGAGAGAGAGAGAGACCACATAATTATGCAGTTGTGCCCATCAAAGCGTCAGTCTCAAGTTCAACGTGGGTGATGCCCTGACACTGTCGCAGCCATACATATGGCGCATGATTGTGGTTGGAATCCGAGGAAGATCAATCAACTCGGTTTGATTTTGCAAATAAACCAGACCGTCAGAATGCAAGCCTGTTATTATTCCCAAACATACCAAAGTTGGAGTGCGTGCTCATCACACATATTCACATCCTTCTTCACACACAACACGCACATTATTTGTTCAAATAACACGAACGGCGACACGCATATATATCATATAGCGTCCTCTGAATCGATCTGAAGACGACGGCCGGCCGGTCACCTCGGCATGGCACGGATCCTGCTTGTCCTAGTCCTGTAGTATCCTGCTATCTAGCTAGGCGAGGACGAGGCTCTTCTTGAAATGCGCGATCTGGATGTTCTCCACGTTGAGCTTCTTGAAGTTGCTGTTCTTCCTGGTGCTGAAGAATTCGCCCCAGTTGTAGGGGTTGTACCTGGGCGGGTCGTCCTCGCTCACCAGCTCCTCCACCGGCTCCACCATGGTGTAGCTCGCCGGGTTGAAGAAGTAGGGCAGGGAGAACCTCTCCCTCGCCGAGTTCACCGACACCCGGTGCTCCGCGCTCTCGTACCTGTCGTTGCTCCACACCTGGATGAGGTCGCCGACGTTGATGATGAACGAGCCCGGCACGGGCCTGACGCGCACCCACTCGCCGTCGGAGCGCCGCTGGACGTCGAGCCCGCCGACGTCGTCCTGGTACAGGATGGTCAGGGCGCCGCCGTCCTTGTGCCGCCCCACGCCGAGGGCCAGGTCGGGGCTGGGGCACGGAGGGTAGTGGTTCAGCCGGATGAAGGTGGTCTGGTCCTTGAAGAAGCCGTGCAGCCGGTCGGGCCTCAGCTTCAGGCTCCGGGCGATCAGCTCCAGCAGCTTGAACGCCAGCTCCTCCATGGCTTTCATATACTCCTCCAGCGCCTCTCTGCAAAAATATCAGTGGTCCAGCCAGCATGTTCAATTATTTGTTAAAATTAAATGCTAAAATATGATCATCGATCGTCACTCACCTGAAGCCCGGCAGATCCTGGGGCCACTTGTTCTGGAACACGATCTCGCCGTCGGCCACGGCTGCCGGCGGCGGCGGCTCGCGCGGGACGAGGTCGAACACCTCCTTCCAGTCCCTGACGTTCTTGGTGTGCTCCGACTCGTAGTACCCGAGCGGCTCCGCCTCGCTCCTCCGCACCGCGGCCTTCCGCTCTGGCGGCAGCGCGAAGAACGCGCGCTGCGCCTCCGTAGCGCGCGCCACGGTCTCCGCGGGCACGCCGTGGCCTACCACCACGAAGAAGCCCCAGTCCCGGCTCGCCGCGCCCACCTCGGCGGCCAGCGCGTCCACCGCGGCCGCGTCGCCGCCATTGGCGATGAGAGGCGAGAGGTCGATGAGGGGGATGCCGGTGGCCTCGGTCATGGTGGGCTTGGGGCGGTGCTCTGGGGCCTGCACGAAGGCCTGGTCCATGGTGAGGCCGCCCATGGCGATCACGTTGCTCTGTGGGAAGGTTGTGTGAGGCTGCGATGTCTTGACTACTTCGCGATTGTGCAGGGCTGGGGCCTGTGATGAGGTGGTTAAATGTGACGTTTGGCCTGCTTGGATTCAATGAATCTGGATGGATTTTTAGGTGAATCTGTTTTCTAGCCATGTACACAAGCTGATGAGTGTACTGAACAAACTTTGTGTTGTTTTGATGGACGGTGCGGTTGTGCTCGGTGTGTTCTAGTAGTATGTGTGACGTCATGGATGATTGAAGGATCGGGATCCACTGTAGCTCAGGGTGGGATGTTATACTCGTATGATATGAGGCTTCTGTACTAGCACAAGAGTTACGGAGAAGCGAGGCCATGTTTAGTTCGCCTGATTCGGCGCCGCCAAATATACTGTAGCGCACTGTAGTATTTCGTCTGTATTTGGTAATAATTGTTCAAACATTGGTTAATTAGGCTCAAAACGTTCGTCTCGTAAAGTACAATCAAACTGTGCAATTAGTTCGTCTGTATTTGGTAATAATTGTCCAAACATTGACTAATTAGGCTCAAAACGTTCGTCTCGTAAAGTACAATCAAACTGTGCAATTAGTTTTTGATTTCGTCTACATTTAATACTTCATGCATGTACCGCAAGTTTGATGTGACGGAAAATCTTCTTTTTGCATAGTGCCAAATTCAAGAATTTGGGAACTAAACATGGCCCAAAACTTTGTTTTCTTTGGCTATATACTAGTGCCTGCGCGTGTGCACATGGAAATGCACGTTCCTGCTTACTTCTCTTTGCGTTATTTTCTCCTCACCACTGAAAAAAGTTCAGCGAGGATGATCCTATGATCCTATACCGTGGTACATGGATTCACCACAACTGTCCATACGCATGTATCTAACATTTATGATTGTTGCTTAAATTAGGAGAAATAGTTACAAATAAAAATTATAACTCTCTTATGCGTTTGGTGCATACACGTGTCGTGAATCCACAACAGGTGCTCATGGTTGTTTCATAGGGATTATCCTCACTGAATTTTTGCCCTCACCACCCCACCCCTCATCCTACCCTCCTGCCTCGGGAGTCGCCGCCCTCGCAGTCACAGCTACCCAACCCGTGACTGCAACAGCTGCTAATCTTAGTGTCTTCTTTGTCCCTTGCTCGAGTGCGCCCGCCTCCCACCACCTTCTACAGTGTAGCGCCTCCTTTGCCACCACCTTCCTCCACCGTCATCACTAATATTAGTCGTTATGTCTTCTTCGTCTTTGACTGATGCCCTCACTGCCTACGCTGCCCAATCAGTGTCTCCCACCTGCCAACGGACGACGCCCCCACTACCCCGACCTCCACCATCGTCTCTGCCACTACCACCATCGATTTGTCAGAGAGGTGAAGAACCACTTTAGTGGAATCGAGGCTTGGAGAACGAAGCACCTTGTGATCAAGCCAGTTCATTGATAAGCACTCATGCCGAGCCAACCATAGGGGTTGTTGAGATTGTAAAGGAGCGGTGATCCTTGAGCTTGGCTCAACATGGACATAGGTGGCCAGAGAAGTCACGAACCATAGGTACATATCTTGTGTCATCCTTCTTGTATGGTATCAATCACTCTACAGTTGTTCTTTACTTTGTGTTCTTACAATTCATAGTATAGAGATAATATACTTGTCACACTAGGGTACAAAACTAGGTAGTGTTCTTTTCTAGTGACATAGCTTAGTTCCTTTGATCAATTCTAGAACTGTGCAGTTGTGCTCACCCTAGGTTTGCCAAACATAGCTAGAGGTAGTGCTTATTAGGGCCTCCCTTGTTTCTAATAAGTTTGCCCAGATTTGTGCCTTGAAGAAAATTTTAATTAGGCTATTCACCCCTTTCTAGCCATCCAAAGATCCCTTTCAACGTCTTCTAGAACCGTTTTTGTAGTAGTGAAATACATATATCAAGAACTAAGCTAGGTGCAAAAGAAACATTTCATATTTTTAGACGGAGCTAATGGGTGTTAAGGAACAATTCCTAAATGTAGGAAAATATCAATTAGATGGTGGTAACCCAATTAGATTTGGGAAGACATTTGATTGAGAAACCAATGTTGGAAGGATCAATATCCCTCTTTGTGGTGGGTTCATAACCACGGATAATGATAGATGGTCCATGTGTGAACTTTGGTGGTTAGCACTCAAGACATGAGAGGGTTTATCCTGTTTCGGACGTCGAGCCCTATGTCCAGCAAAAGATTTTGTTTCGTGTTGGAATGATCGAGAAAGAGTTAACAAAAATAGGGGCAGGAGAGAGCAAAGGGCTTCTTCCCTAATTGATCTATCGCTACTGTTCGATGCCTCTATGGCGTCCGATGCCCTTAAAGATGGCAACGGGGCGGGTATAGACTCGAAACCCATGGGTTTTGGACACGGCAAGGGCGGGTCGGTTTTCAGGTTTGGGGACCCGAAACGGGGTGGGTTGGGGTCGGGTTTCGAATCCCCCCACCCCCCGCGGGTGCCCGTCATAGACCTGAAGCATGGCAAAAAAGCCCATGGCAGCCGGCCCAACTGAGGATCCTATAAGGCTGTAACCCTAGCAAAAAAATTCACTGCCGGTCCCTGAACTTGGCCGACAGTGTCATTTAGGTCCCTGAACTTCTAAAATGATATATGTAGGTCCCTAAACTTGGCAGACGGTGTCATCCAGGTCCCTGAACTTCTAAAGTGATATATGTAGGTCCCTAAACTTGGCCGGCGGTGTCATCCCGGTAACTGAACTTTCAAGGTGATCACCGTAGGTCCCTAAATTTGGCAAGCGATATCATCCCAGTCCAAATGTGGTCTAACCTACTATATAAGCTAGCGTGGCACACTAATTGTATGTTAGACGTGGATCCAACAAATACTAGGTTTTAACTGAAATAGAAAAATACTAAAATTAATTTAATATTTATATATCATTAATAGTATTAAAATAATATTAAAATTCCTATAGTATTAAAAGTTTTCTCTATTAAAAGTTACTTCTAATTTTAGTTTTATTTTAAAAGTTTTAATAATAGTATTATAGAAGTAACTTTTCTCTATTATTAATACTATAATACTATACTACTTTTAATAGTAGTATTATAGTATTAGAACTTTCAATAATAGTATTATAGTATTAAAAGTTTTAATAATAATATTATAGTATTAATAACAGAGAAAAGTTACTTCTATGATGTTATTATTAAAACTTTTAAAATAATACTAAAATTAGAAATAACTTTTAATAAAGAAAACTTTTAATACTATAGGTAACTTTTAATATTATTACATTTGGACAGGTTGAATTCGTGCTCAGGGCTTAATAGGATTAATAGGATACTCATACCAACAAGTTGCAAAGTTTAGCCCATCTCTTAAAAACTCCAAGGATCACCTTGAAAGTTCGAGAGAAGTTCTTCGAGATGACAAAGTGCGCAGAAAAGACCATGTTTAGTGACTATATCCAGAAAGTGATTAGCGGGCCCGGCCTTGAAAGTTTAGGGATCCGGATGGCACTGCGCTCGCCAAGTTTAGAGACCCATAGATATCACTTTGTGGAAGTTCAAGGACTGAATGACACACCGACGTGGCTAAGAGGGGCGTTCAAGTTAGGATTGACCGAGGACGCGTCGTGGTGAGGTTTTGCTCGGCAACAAATAGGATCTTAAATCGATTGCAACTTCTCCTCTCCCCATCTCTTAAAAACTGTTGCACAGCCTCCTGCGAGCGAAGACAACACAAAGTTCTTCCCGGGTGCACGCAGTGACCCGCCGATCATATCCAGAGAAGCTATCGGATGTAAGCGGGCCCGGCCTTGAGAAGTGGACGCTACAACACGCTCGCCAAGTTTAGGGAGCCGCAAAGATCTTGGTGGTCGATGACACCGCACCATGTTTAGTGACTCTGCGGTGATTACGCCTGAAAGTTTCCGGATGGCCCGCCTCCTGACCTAGGGCTGTAGGCACTCAAGTTCAAGGCCTGGATGACACCGTCGGTGGTTCGAGAGCCCGACGGTGAATTTTGCTCAGCAACAAATATCAAATCGAGCTACTACTCCCTCCCCATTCACTGCGCCAGACGACCTCCTGCCTGAGGAAGACAACACGTGTCACGACCTCCTCTCCCTCAAGAGACAAGATGCAGGAGCTCGCGCCGTCCTGCCCAAAGATCACTTGCGCGCTTAGGGCGCCTCAGCTCCATGTTGACCTAGGGCTGCAGGCACTCTTGTCCCGGTGGTCGCAGACCTCACAGCTGACAGTACACATAGCTCCTTCGCTGCAGGTGGTGTCACATGTCTCCTCCTCTCCATCCGGCAGTCACTTGACCCCGCTACCCCAACAGGAAGTTCTCGGGCCTGGGACTCACGACAGCTCTTGGGTGGTGTCACATGAAAGGGGCGGGGCAGATCTTCAGTTCCGGGTTTGGGGAAATTGAGTTCGAGGGCAGATCTTCACCCGAAATTGAGTTCGGGGCGGGTTCAGGTTTTAGGTGTGTGTGGGCGGATCTTTCACCCGGCCTCGACCCGCCCCGTTGCTATCTTTAGATGCCCTCGCCTTGTAACTTGGGAGAGGGAGGGAAGGGAAGCAAAAAAAGTGGTTCTAGGCTCTTGGCCGCCAAGGAAAGTGGCCTCTTTGACTGTCACCCTCGTATTTGAGCCATTGGGGGTGTCTTCCTTGCTCCACTCTGATGGTCATGGCCGACTACTCCTACCTGTCTTCAGGGTAGACAGGTTGGCCTCCAATCTGCCCGTCCTCAGTCCACCCTACCCTTGTGTTCTACGTCAACAATTTAGAGTTTCATACAGACTAGCCTGTGGCCCACACGCTTGGCTTCCCATGGATGGTTAGACCGGTGCATGCCCCCTTTCGTCACGCTCTGGGCGTGACCCTTGTCAAAGCAAGCAAGCGGAACCTCATTGGGGTAGGGGACAACTCTTTGCCCTGTTGCGCAGGTGTGAGACAGTAGTCCCGTAGCATGTGCCTGACAGGAGATTCGAAATATCCTCGAGTCCATCGTGTGCTCAAATCCTCTCATGAGACGAACCCGAGTGAAGCGTTTTGGATGTCTCTTGCCGAGCCACATTCGTTCAGCCGAAGCCCCCAAGCAACGGGGATCCAAGTGGGTCTGGGCCAAGGTCTGCCTCAGGGTGGTCCGAGCCTTAAGGACTTTGAATGGTATCTAGCAGGGGTGTGCGAGCGCATCCGCTGGGTGTAGCCCCTAAGTCCCTGATTGTAGCATGTAACTAATGTCAATTCCAGAAACCCTCTTGTCTGCTCACACGTATCGTTATATTGCATATTGCCTCCACATCTATGAGAGAGAAGAAAGTACGCAACTTAAGTTTGTCTCAAGTGAATGTTTTTTATCAATAAATTCAACAACCATTACAGTTGGATTACCCCTTAAGCAAGCGACCGGCAGCCTGTTCGTTTGGCTGTGGCTTGTCGTAAACGATCGTAAATTTCCAGCCTGAACAGTATTTTTCTATCATATAAACCAGCCAGCAGTACTTCTTCACGAACCAGCGATGATATGAACCAGCCAACCAAACAGGCTGTGGACCTATGAGACCATCGCGTGGGATCTAGTTCGGACAACCGTGGCAACAGGAACATGTTATTGCATCTGTTTAGAATTATCGTTGCAATAAGCCCTAGCAATTGCAACGCAAGCGAAGATTATTGCGTCCCAAGACAACCGTGGCAATAGTTGCAATCAATAGCAACTAAATTCAAATATGGTTGTTACAGTCTGCACCACTCACTGACGGCACGTATCCGGAGCTAGCCCTGAAATCCGCGATCTGGAGGCTGTCCACGTCCAGCCTCTTGAAGTTGCCGTTGAGCTTGGTGCTGAAGTAGTCGCCCCAGCTGTAGGCACTGTACCTGGGCGGGTTCTCCTCGCTCACCAGCTCCTCCAGCGGCTCCACAATGGCGTCCCTCGCCGGGTTGAAGAAGTAGGGCATGGAGAACCTCTCCTTCTCCGAGTTCACCGACACCCGGTGCTCCGCGCTTTCGTACCTGTCGTTGCTCCACACCTGATCGACGGGCGACGACGACGGCGGTTGAGCTAGCCTTGCTATATATACGACACGAATTCGATGCAATGCAATCCAACGGCGCCCAGCATATGCGTATATACATGCATGGTGTCGCCGACGTTGATTACGAACGAGTTGGGAACGCACTTGACACGGACCCACTCGCCGTCGGATCGGCGCCGGACGTCGAGCCGGCCGACGTCGTCTTGGTACAGGATGGTCAGCGCTCCGGGGTCCTTGTGCCGCCCCACGCCGAGCACCACCTCGGGCCTCGGGCACGGAGGGTAGTGGTTCAGCCGGAAGAACGTGGTGTGCTCCTTGAAGAAGCCGTGCAGCCGGTCGGGCCTCAGGTTCAGGCTCCGGGCGAGCAGCTCCAGCAGCTTCAAGGCCAGCTCTTCAAGGGCGTTCGTGTACTCCTCCAGCGCCTCTCTGCGTGCAAATAATTCTCGTTTCACATCTCTTTTTTAATTAGTAGACAAGAAGAAGAAATTTTGATTGATCAGGAGAGAATTCAATCATATATAGCCAAATCCAAAGGTCGTCAGGGTCGCAAATGGATTCATCACCTGAAGCCCGGCAGGTCCTCAGGCCACTTGTTCGCGTACACGACCTCGCCGTCGGCCACGGCTGCCGGCGGGGGCGCTGGCGGCTCGCGCGCGACGAGGTCGAACACCTCCTTCCAGTCCCTGACGTTCTTGGCGTGCTCCGACTCGTAGTACCCGAGCGGCTCCGCCTCGGTCCTCCGCACGGCGGCCTTCCGCTCCTGCGGCAGCGCGAAGAACGCGCGCTTCGCCGCCGTCGCGCGCGCCACGGTCTCCGCGGCCATGCCGTGGCCCACGACCACGAAGAAGCCCCAGTCCCGGCTCGCTGCGCCCACCTCGGCGGCCAGCGCGTCCACCGCGGCCGCCGTGTCGTCGCCGCCGGCGCCATCGGCGGTGAGAGGCGACAGGTCGATGAGAGGGATGCCGGTGGCCTCGGTGACGGTGGGCTTGGGGCGGTGCTCGGGGGCCTGAACGAAGGCCTGGTCCATGGTGAGCCCGCCCATGGCGATCACGTTGCTCTTGCTCTGTGTGGGAGGAAGTGGTGTGACTTGTGAGGCTGTGATGAGCTGCGTGTCTTGCTGGGCTAGGACGCAACGCAATGTGTACCTTGCGCCTGTATCCAAGCCTGCCCACGCCGTGGTGTGTGCCTCCAGCCATCCCTCACCAACGTGTCCAGAGGACGAAGGAGGCTGGACGAAGGGACTACGGAGGAAGAAATCCAGCTGCACTGCTCAGGCGAACTCACGCTCTGCCTTCATGGATGCCATGAGAGGTAAATGTCTCCGATGCCTCGCTGGGGGCCACCGAGCAGCTGACTGCACAGAGCCGGTCCGCTGCCTGTACTGCAGGAGGTTTGGCCATAAGGCCAGGGATTGCAGCATGGCTTCGCATCCCCGTGCTCCTCAAGCTTCAGCAGTGTGCCCACCTGCTTCCTCTGCCTCGCCCCCACCAGACCTCAGCTCGTTCCCACCTCTCCCGCGCCGGCGCCAGGGGACCCAGCGACTCGCCCGGAGGGCACCAATGCGGTGGCGGCCGCGACCTCCGAGATGGAAAAAGAAGCTGCACGCCTCTCCTCTTGCGCCGTGGTGCTCGACCTGTGCAGAGGCCAAGGCGACGTGGAGCCAGAGGAGGTGAACAAGGCGCTCCGTGTCCGCTTCGGTGTCCAGCGGGGGGACGTCAAAGTCTCCCGACACCAGCCAGAGAACTTCCTCGCCGTCTTCAAGTATCCCCACCACCGGGATGCTGCGGTGGCCTTGGAGAGGCTTCCTGTGGGCAACCTCGACTTCCGCATATGGCCCTGGTGCAGCCTCCCCTACGGGGACCATTGTGATCTGCGTCACCACGTGCGGCTCTGCTTAGAGGGGATACCGGCCCACGCGTGGAACGAGAGCATCGCCAAGCGGGTGGTGGCGAGGGTGTGCGACCTCGACTACGTGGAGGCGCGCTCCCTGCGGCGAGACGACACCAGGGCTCTGTGCCTCTGGGCCTGGACCTACAATCCAAGTGACATTCCAAAGGTAACATGGCTGACAATGACAGGTAGTGCAGTTCACGTTCACGACGGCGCCGTTCCACCTCGCGGCCGACGCGGACTCACCTTCCGCGTCATCGTTCACCTGGACCTGGCACTACGGGGTCATCGACGGTGAGCGCGCGCCGCGTGAACGCCACGACCTGCCGCCACCAGAGAACAGGCATGAGCGCCGCCGCGACGACGACGACGACAACGACCGTCGCGGCCGCCGGGACAGAAGCAAACATTGGGGGTCGCGCCCGTCCTGCAGTCTCTCTCTTGCCCCGGAGCGGGCCAGGGAGAGGGAACGGTCCGAGTCGAGGCATGGTCGGCGCGATAAATCATCCGCGGCCAGCAAGCGACACAGGTATGGCCAACGCGCGTCCTCAATTGATGAAGCACTCGGCACTTGTCTGCAACTGCAGGTCTGGATGCCATGAATCGTGCTCTTCATCACGCCGCGCGAAGTCCGCGGCTCACGGCCAGTCCCAACCCCCAGAAGCCTCAGCACTCCTCGTTGACGCGTCGTCCAGAGGGACGGGGACGCGGACCGACCAAACGATCCTCGACCGAGCGACAACAGCAGAAGCTGCCCTCCAGGAGAGGGAGCGAGGGCCACGGCGGCTGCCCCGACCCTGCCTGTCCAGCCGGGCGCCTCGCTGCAGGACGCGGAAGGCTCGATGACCCCTGGGCCACCATCTGCCCAACCGGCCCTCCACACGGCTGCCTCGTCCAGGTCCTCGGAGACGCAGGATCCCCCCGACACTGTCATGCCATGCCCCACAACCCTACTGCCTCGGAACAGAAGGTTCCGCCCCAACTGCGTGTACGTGAGGCGCAAGCAGCGCACAACAACCACAGCACTGGCATCTGCACCGGCACAGCAGAGCGCGGCGGCCAGCTTCATCGACACAGTCACACTCCAGACCGCCAAGCCGGTGCTTCAAGGGCCGCCGCAACGGGCTGTGGCGGCAAGACGCAGGAAGAGGCAGCCTTCTGCCCCACAGCGCAAGAGCGTGCGCGTTGCGGCAGCGTCCTGGCCACGCGGGGACGCCCAGGCGAAAGCTCGCCAAGTCCTCATGAAGAAGCTCGGCTTCGTGGAAGACGAGGACCGGTCGGCGGATGATGCGCTGCTTGGCTACTTCAAGCTCTTCAGTGGCCCCACTTTCTGGCCCGGTGGTCAAGGCACTGACGGCGCTGTGCGGACTCGACAGCGACACTGGTGCTGGCAGCTCCCAGGAATGAGCACCAGAGACCGGCGCAAGGGCTACATTTGGTTACCCAACGTTGTTTAGGGTGTGTTTAGTTGGGTGAAAGTTGGAATTTGGGCTATTGTAGTATTTTCGTTTTTATTTGGTAAATAGTGTTTAATCATGGACTAATTAGGCTTAAAATGTTCGTTTCGTAATTTTCAACCAAACTGTGCAAATAGTTTTTTTCGTCTATATTTAATGCTCTATGCACGTATCGCAAGATTCGATGTGATGGATACTGTAACACTTTTTTGGATTTTGAGGTGCCAACTAAACACGCGCTTAGCCACACAACCACCTATATCTCAGCTTCAGTTCGGGTGTCGTCGTCTTCAGTTCTTTGTGGTCTGAGAACTTCAGTTCTTTCTGGTCTGTGAAGGATGCGCGGATGTTTGCCGGGGGCCCAAAGTCACCAAAACGACCTCCACACTATCTTCGTCGTAGTGTCAAGTTGCGTCCTGATAGAAACGGATCACTAACCATAGATCCAGCACACAAATTAATATTTGAAGAAGGATAAATCTTAGAACATGTACTACTAGTATGTGATTAACAGATAGAGTGGGATAGAGATAGGGTTTAGGAGGTGCAAATCATCGTCCGCCTTCATAAAAGACGAGCTGGCTATGGGGTTGCTTGACGGTGGTGCGGTGAAGCCTGACGGTGAAAGGCGTTGTCGCGGTGGTGGCGGTGCAGAGACGGCGATGGCCGGTGGCGGTCTTCCCGTCACTGGCAGCACCCCTTCTTAGATCGGTTAGGGTTTAGGGACTGTAGGTGGGGCGTCTGACGGTTCAGGTGAACCTCGTGCCTTGTGCCCTGACCCCCACCTTCCTTTTTATGGCGCTGTGCGACGGGGCCCCACCAACCATGAAACGGTTGGACGCACCCGATCAGGACGCGGATCCAAGGGGCCAATTGGTCGTTGGGCCATTTGGTTGGAGATCATCTAACATTTCCCTCCTTGATCTCACCTTATGACTTAAACTCAACTCACTTACTTTATCTTGTTCTCATTCCATCACGGATCAGTACATAGAGCGTGCCTCATCGTCACGGTCAGTTGCCATTAGGTTAAACAGCTACAATGCACTTCTCTGTTTTGATACCGATTCTCAACTAGGCCCTTATTGTCCAGTAATCATAGGCTTTCCCTTAAACCTATGCCGGCTAAGTGTTCTCTGAACAAGCTGGGTGGTAAGCCTTTTGTGAGCGGATCCGCGAGTATCTTTTCTGTTCTTATATGCTCAAGACTAATTATATGATCTCGGACTTTGTCTTTCATAACATAATACTTTATGTCAATATATTTGGCAGCATCACTTGACTTATTGTTGTGAGCATAACATACTGCTGGATTATTATTGTAGTATAGCTTGAGTGGTTTATGTATGTCGTCTACCACTTTCAACCCGGGCATGAATTTCTTCAGCCAATTCACCTGCCCTGTGGCCTCATAACATGCTACAAACTCAGCATACATTATAGACGATATAGTGATGGTTTGCTTTGAACTTTTCCACGATATAGCTCCTCCTACGAGAGTGAATATGTATTCTGACGTTGGCTATCTATCATCTCCCGCATAATCAGAATCTGTATACCCCTCTATGTGTAGGGAATCAAATCTTCTGTACGACTATACGTTAGCATGAGACCCTTCATACCTTATAGGTAATGTAAAATTTTCTTTATTAATTTTCAGTGTTCTGTTCCTGGATTACTCTATATCGGCCAAGTAACCTAGTAATAAATGCTAAGTCAGGACGAGTACACACTTGAGCATACTGTAAACTTTCGACAGCTAAACTATATGGAACCACTTTCATTTGATCGATCTCATATTGGTTCCTGAGACATTAAAATTTTCCATATATGTCGCCCTTGACTATGGGAGCAGGTGAAGACTTACAATTTTGCATACTGTATTTCTTTAGAACTTTTTCTAAGTATATCTTTTGAGATAATCCTAAAACCTCCTTTTCTCTATCTCGGTGAATCTCTATTCCTAGGACGAACGAAGCTTCACCGAGATCCTTCATATCAAACTTTGAGGACAAGAACTTCTTTGTTTCTAGTAGTAGATTAACATCACTGCTAGCAAGCAAGATGTCATCCACATACAAGACTAGGAAAATGTATTCTCCATTCTTGAACTTTGCATAAACGCAATTGTCATCTATATTTTCTTGAAACCCAAACTTTTTTATTGTACTATCAAACTTCAAATACCACTGTCTTGAAGCTTATTTTAATCCATAAATAGATTTCTTTAGGCGACATCCCATGCGTTCTTTTTCTTCCACAACAAAACCTTTTGGTTGTGCCATGTAAATATTTTTCTCCAGATCCTCATTTAGGAATGTCGTCTTTACATCCATCTGATGTAATTCTAAATCATAATGTGCTAAAAGCGCCATTATGATTCTAAAAGAATCCTTACATGAGACTAGAGAAAATGTCTCATTATAATCTATACCTTCTCTTTGTGTGAAGCCTTTCGCCACAAGCCGCGCTTTAAATCTTTCTATATTTTCTTTGGAGTCATGTTTAGTTTTATAAACCCATTTACAGCCTACTGTCTTAGCTCCTTTAGGAATTGTTTCTAAGTCCTAAACACCGTTGGTTTTCATTGATTTTATTTCATCTTCCACGGCTTCAAGCCATTTGGATGAGTGAGCACTTCTCATGGCTTCTTCAAATGAGATGGGATCACCCTCCGTTTGAAATTCCTCATATTCATAAACTTCATAATCACTAGGAATAACCGATCTCTTGACTCTTTGAGACCTTCTAGGGGCCTCGTTAGAAGACGCTTGTTCTATATGAGGCTGTTGTTGCTCTCCCTCATGTGTGACAACAGATTCTAGGGGATCATGAAGGACAGATTCCTCATGTTCATTCATTGTTGCCATAGGAGAACTAACAACATGTGCTGTTACTACAATGTCTTGCATTGTTGATACAGCAACAACAGGTAGCGTGAAGAATGGCTCCTGAACCATAGGAGTGGGCACGTATACCCGTTTCTCTTTAAAACTAATTTCACGCGCTACCATGCTTCCCCTGATCATATCTTCCTCCAAGAAGACAACATGTCTTGTTTCTACAAACTTTTTTTGTCTGTCAGGACAATAGAAGCGATAACCTATTGACTTTTTTGGATAGCCAATGAAATGACAACTGACTATTTTGGAGTCCATCTTCTCTATGTTTGGGTTAAATACTTTTATCTCAGCTGGACAACCCCACACGTAAATAGTTTAGTGATGGTTCCTTTCCTGTCCATAACTCATACGGTGTTTTGGGCACCGACTTACTTGGCACTCGATTAAGAATATGAATGGCGGTTTTCAACGTCTCCATCCATAAACTTATCGGTAAAGAAGAGTAACTTATCATGCTTCTCACCATATCCATTAAGATACAGTTGCGTCTTTTAGCTACTCTATTCTGCTGAGGCTCGCCCGGTGTAGAATACTAGGCTACTATGCCATTTTCCTGTAAGAACCTTGCAAAGGGTCTAGGAACTTGGCCATATGGGGTGTGTCAACTGTAGTACTCTCCCCCACGGTCGGACCTTACTACCTTAATCTTTAAGTTGTGCTAATTTTCTACTTCAGCCTTGAATATTTTAAATTTATTCAATGCTTCCGATCTTTCCTTAATTGGATAAATATAGCCACAATGAGAATAGTCATATGTGAATGTTATAAATGAATCATAACCATCCACACTCTTCACAGGAAAAGGACAACAAATGTCTGTGTGAACTATTTCGAAAATTCCTACGCTTCGTTTGGCATCTTTCTTTATTTGATTAACGTACCTTCCTTTTATGCAATCAATGCATTGCTCTAAATCTGAAAATTCTAAAGGCGAAAGAATTGATTTCTTAATCAATCGCTCTATTCTCCCCCTCGAAATATGGCCTAAACGACAGTGCCATAATTTCGATGATACATCATGAACTCTCTTCCGCTTATTACTTGCATTCATAGACGAAGATGCATTCTCATTCTCAGTACTTATATCATTCACATTCTCAGAAAGTGATAATAAATAAAGCTTATCTTGTTGGAAGGCAAGACCAACACACTTATTATTAATCACAATCCTACATTTGCCATTACCAAAATAGCAATCATATCCATCATCATCTAAACATGAAACACTTATTAAGTTTCTTCTCAAAGAGGATACAAAAAAACTTCTGAAAGCTTAAGTACAAAACCATCAACTAATTCTAGAGAGAGATCTCCAATGACTTCAACTTCAGCTTCAACTCCATTTGCTACTTTAATTCTTCTTTCTCCTCTTTGCAGGGTCCTCCTCGTACAGAATCCCTGTAATGAATTTACAACATGAACAGTTGCACCTGAATGAATCCACCAAGTAGATTTTGCATAACTTAAATACAAGGATTCATCTATGAATATAATGAAATCCTCACCTCTCTTCAGAAGACTCTTCAGGAAGTCTGGACAGTCCCTCTGTTAGTGTCCATGCTTCTTGCTCCATTTACACTGATCCTTCTCAACTTGAGCATTGTTGTTCTTCGGATGATGGTCATTCTGAGGGGCTTTCCTTTGAGGTTTGGCATTCTTATTGAAGTTCTTATTCTTGTTGTCCTTCACAAGGTTAGCAGAGTCACCCTGTAAGGATTTTAGCCTCTCCTCTTCTTGAACACACATTGCGATAATCTTCTCTATATCTCACTTATCAGGCTGCATGTAGTAATTAACAACAAAAGTGTCATATTCCTTTAGCAAGGAAGCAAAAACCAAATGAATCAGGAACTCATCCTTGAGCCCCAAATCCATTGGCTTCAGTTTCGAAGCCGTGTTGCTCATCTTCAGTATGTGCTCTCTGATATCGCCACCAGTATATTTCTGATTGAACAATTTTTTGATCAAAGTACTGGCATAAGCCTTTGAAGAGCCAGTGAACTGACTCTCCAGCTTCTTAAGATATTATGTGGCGGTATCACAATCTGGGATAGACCCCCTTATAGCATCTGAAATTGTGGACTTAGCCACCATCAA